AGGGCCGGGAGTGACAGGACAAGGGGTAATGGCTTTAAACTGAAAGAGGGAGATTTCGATTAGATATAAGGAAGAAATTCTATACTGTGTGGGTGGTGAGGCCCTGGAACAGGTTGTCCAGAGAAGCTGTGGCTGCCCCCTCCCTGACAGTGTTCAAGGCCAGGTTGGATGGGGCTTTGAGCAACGTGGTCTGGTGGAAGGTGTCCCTGCCCATGGCAGGGAGTTTGGAACAAGATGACCTTTAAGGACCCTTCCAACCCAAACCGTTCTATGATTCTATGATTATGGTTGGGGTTTTATTTTTCATTTTAAAATAAATGACTCTTCTGGGCATGGTTTTGAAAGTGATTCCCATATTCCTGGAGCCAGGCAGGGCACATGCTAGAGATGTCATGTGTGATGTGGACACCCAACTTAGCTCCCCTCCAAGCGCTGGGCTTTCCCCACACCCGTTGGTGAAAGAGGGGCGAGTCACTGTTCAGGGGTTGAGCAAAGTCCAAGGGAGGGAGCCACACATGCCTTGCAGTTTGTCCCAGCAGATATCTGTGCAGAAGAGGCAAATCTGTCCACTTTGCTGATTATTGCCCAGCTCTGAGTCCCTGGTCAGGGCTAATGCTACCCTGGATGGCAGCATGACACTTGAGCTGTTCCCAAGGTTAAATGCTTTTCAGGTAGCTGCACTTGGCTACTCCTCCTTTGACTTTTTCTTTGCAGGGCACCAAGATCAAAATCAGCGGGGGAAAAAGGTTCCTTGTGCTGGTGTTTGGGACATTGTGTCCAGCTCCATGAACCAGTGCCAGCTGCAAGACAGGAACAGTCTTCTTGCACTAATGAGAAATCCCTCCTACCCTCTCTTTCTGGTCAGAAAATTTTGTCTTAAATTTCTGTAAGACAAAGAACTAATTCTGCCCTTACTGCCTGCAGTTTCAACTCTGCCTCCTGTGCACTGCTCGGAATTGCCATAGAGATGGCAAGGCTGGTGCTGCAATTAAAAAAAAAAAAAAATAATACCATAATAATAGAGACTGGAACAAACAAATTGCAGCAGTGCTTTGTGAGTGCCCACGTCTGTTCAGACCAGAATGCCAAGCTCCGTCTCAGCAGGATGGAGGGAGTTGAGATCAAGACCAGCTTTAGACAAACAGGCCATGTCTCCATCATGAGTTTAGAGCTCAAATGCTCTCCCACAGCTGCCCTTGCTGCTTTGCTCCTGGAAGAGCCTTGACTTATGTCAGGCCTTGAGCACCATACGGGGAGCAGCATGCTCAATGACATTATGGTTGATTTAACCCTGTTTTGGAGGAGACAAGCCATATGGACATAAGATCCACATGTAAAGTAGCTGTGGCCTCGGGTGCTGAGTTGCAAAGCATCCCCAGGAGGTGAACCCCAGTCACAACACTTGCCCACATCAGGGAGACTCTGTAGGTAAGTGCAAACATGTAATGCAAATCCCATGGACCATAACATGGAGTCACCACACAAATACATAAGAGCACAGGTCCCTCCTCTCTCTGTGTGTACCTGGGATGCTGTTGACACTCTGAATAAGCAGGTGGCTGCGAATTTACCGGCTGCTCCTCCTGAGTCGTTGGATTAAGCTCTGGTTTGCAATGCGTCATTGAAGAGATTGCAAATATTTTCCATGTGTTGAATGAAAATTGTAAACAGATTGAGCCTGGGTACAGTAGATCCACTGGACTAAATTTGACTAAGAAAAGCTTTCAATTAAAAATGAAGCTTAAGGGGGATGGGGAGTGAGCTGACATGGAGGGAAATTTTGTCATTTTAATGAAAAAATTGTTGTGGAAGTATACTCTCTGCAAACGTCAGAGTCCTTGTGAAGGAAAGCACGCGATATAAATCAGTATCTACTAAAGCAGTGTCTATCTCTTGAATATAACAAGACTAACTATGAAATTACAAAACAGCACGCACAGCATTTTCATGGGGAAATGTGCTGTATTCAGTCATATTAATTACTGCGTGGGCTCAATTTTCATTGCAATCAATCCACAGGAAACAAAAGGACTGCAGGGGAAATATAAAAAGACAGTCAGCTAGTAAGAGCCAGATTCAATAAAACTGTATCTGCCTTCAGCGAATGGCGAGGCAGAGATGTGTCCCTTTTCCCTCGGCAAGGCACGCAATGGGTTGGGGAAAGGGTCTAGGACCGAGAGCGGCTTGGAGCAACACCCTATGTATATGTACATACGTATGTATACATGTATGTGTATATATATATGTACATATATGAGAAATACAACTCCTATTGCGAGAAAGTAGGAAAAAAAGGGGTTTAACTGAAGTTTTCCTGAGCGATATTCAGGGTGCACTTCTGCTGGTGCAGGCTCTACCTGTTATGGCTCCTTCCCCACTGTCCCGTGAGTCCCAGGCTCTCCCATTCCATGTGGTACAAGGGCGTTTTGCTCGCCCCGCCGTCAGCCCTGCTCTGCTGCTCCAGCCCCTCTTTGCCGGCAGCAAGCAGCAAGCCCTAGGGCTGCTGGTGTGGTCAGGGGGTCTCCTGGGTGGACTTCAGATGCTGGATGAACTTCACCCTTACTGCAGATTTTCGATTTAATGCCAATGTTTTAGCAAGCTGTTCGGTTTGTTTGCCTAGCACTTAATAGAGGGATTATCTGGTTTATTTTTTTCTTCCCAGATTGCTTTTCAGTTTCGAAGTTGAATGTGTTCATTTTTAGTGGCAGCCTTCTCTTCCATTCAAACTCCAAAGCTCCCTAGGAAGTGACTTCATGGCATTAATCAAGCAGATTATTGCTTGGAGTGGCTGAATTACCTAGTGTTCATGTAATGGCAAGCTGCTAGTCCATATGTATTTAATGACTGTAATCATTTATTATTTTCCCTTTATTAGGTTTGTTTTTAAAGAAAGTTTTACTGTGCTATTTATGATATGCTAAGTGGTGCAACTTGCTGAAGAAACATATCACATACATTTTGTTTTTTAATAGGTTTTGCTTGTTAAAATAGAAATCTTTTATTTATCCTAGTAGGGTATTTTTTATTATTTCAATTACTCAGACATTTCTTTCCTCTTTTGTTTCCCCAGATGCTCCTCCAGGGAGTTTTAATGTGTCCATTCTTTATTTAAGATTGGGTTCAGAACGTGATATTTCTAGTAGGGCAGAGGAAAAGCATAATATAGCAGACATTAAATAGTGGGATGTCAAGGTTTTATTTTCTTTCCTCTTTGAGTTGTGGAATCCTTTCCCCATCTGTGCCATCTGGTGATTAATTGCACTGGTAATCTGCACACCCTCATCAATAACTGTCTGCTAACAGTGCCAGGCAGAGGCCGTGCTCTGCCTGATGAGTTTGTGGCTGCTGATAAATGAACGTACATGTACGAGTAAAAGGGGGGACCCCTGAGAGCATATAAAATTGCCAGAGACCCAGAGTCCTTTAATGAACTAACACTTGATAGGTACTGGCAGCAACTACCATATGCATTTTACTTGCTGGTGGGAAAAGGAGAATGCGACCATTCCTACAGGGCAAAATCCAAGCTTCGGTAGGTGGAGTGAAAACTGAACTCCAAGGGCTCGTACCAGGAGGGACACTTACAGTCTCAGTGGGCCAGCACCAGCGGGGACAGCAGACCGAGTTCACCTGTCCAAAGTTCACTAGGGTGGGACAGTGTGGAAACTGGTGTCTGCTCCCCTGGCTCTTGCTGGGGTAGAGTTGTGATTTCTCTCCGCAAGTTCTAGTGAGTCTTTGAGCACTCTCTGATGTGTGATGGATTTTACTGTCCATGATAGCATAACTATTTCTGGTTTTGTTCTGTTGCTTCTTTTCTTTGCCCCTTGCTACTCTTCTGGTGTCTGAGGGAGCGACCAGTCCTTGGACTATGAAGAAACCAAAACTAAATGCTTGTTGGGACAGTGGGAGAGTCCCCAGAGCTCCAGACGAACGTGTGTTTGGACTGCCTGGGGCTAATGCATGTCCATGACCATGCTTTAGAGAGGTAGAAAGCACATTACAAAGCATGTCCTCCCACTTGTGCATGCCGTCATGTTTTCCAGAGTGTCTGGGGGAGAGCTTTTCGACCGCATCGTTGAGAAAGGGTTCTACACTGAGAAGGATGCCAGCACACTGATTCGGCAGGTCCTGGATGCTGTCTACTACCTGCACCGAATGGGCATCGTGCACAGGGACCTCAAGGTACGACTGTGGCATGACTTGGTCCTCCAGGCAGAGTTAATGAAGGTTGTGTAATTACATGAGTCTAATGCATGTAAGTCTAGCCTCCACGGAGACTGGCTGTTTCAGTAAGGTTTTACCACAAGAGGGGTGCTCTGAAGGCTCCCTATCCTTCCATCGTGATTGGCTTTAATGAGAACTTCGCAATCCATGCTGTCAATGGGACTTTTGCACGTATCATGTGTGGGAAAAGTTGTTCATTAAGACCCAAAACATTACATTAAGGCAAGATTCTCATTTCAGCTGGGGTGTGTTTACTGTTGTAAAGTATCTTGCAGATTTGCTGTGCTATATTTACTTTTACTTAATAATAATCAGTAACAATAAATAGTGTGGGAAAGTGGAATGATTTCCTATCGTGCTGTTTGGACTGGTGTATTTGGAGACACTGTTAACAGCACGATTTCTTCTAAGGAACATGGTGTGCCAGTGTAATTTTTAGATAATTTTCCTTTCAGCGGTACTGTGTTATCACATCAAAAACTCTCAGGTTTTCTTGCAAAAAAAGCTACAAAATATTATTTCTGTATTGTTTCCTTCCTGTATATTAAATTGTCATTAAGAAAAGCAGAAAGGCTTGGATTTCATAACACATAGCTAAATCTCCTCATCTTCAGTATCTTAAATAAGAAATTAGCAGAAAGCATTAGAAGAAGATACAAATGTCAAAAGAAAACTGTGCTTTCATTTCCTAAGCTGGTTAATTGTACCAAACATTATTGCCAGAAATTAAGAATTCAGTGAATGAAATAACACCTGTGGGGGTCTTTTTTGAGGGATGGCTCAAACAGGAGTTGCTTTGAATGTTGATGTTTTGGCTTTGAATTGTTCCCATGTAATGACAATGGAATTCGGCAAAACAGGTCAGATTATGTGAAGGCATAATGAACATTAATAGAGTCAAGAGCTACAAAGAAGTTTTCGGTTTTTTACTTCTTAAATTTGATTTTTTATTAAATGTATTTTTAAAGTAATTGCATTTTTAATTTGGTGTAATATTAAACTGCATGTTTGCAAGTTTTGGCAAGTCCTCTTAGCAAAGGTAGTAGTGGTGGAAACGTAACCTCACTGGTTTCATAGAACCATAGCATAGTTAGGGTTGGACGGGATCTTCATCTAGTCTGACTTCCCTGCAATGAGCAGGGACATCTGCCACTAGATCAGGTTGCTCAGAGCCCTGTCCAACTTGACTTTGAATGTCTCCAGGGATGGAGCATCTACCACCTCTCTAGGCAACCTGTGCCAGTGTTTCACCACTTTCATAATAAAAAATTTGTTCCTTATATCCAGTCTACATCTACCCTTCCTTAGTTTAGAACCATTACCCCTTGTCCTATCACTGCAGGCCTTGCTAAAAACCCCATCCCCATCTTTCTTATAAGCCCCCTTTAAGTACTGAAAGGCCGCAGTAAGGTCTCTCTGGAGCCTTCTCTTCTCCAGGCTGAACAGCCCCAACTCTCTGGTTGGTCTCTCGTCTCTTACAGCATTCGTGTGTTGCCCTCAGTTCCCACTCATTTTCTGCTCTTATGTTGAAGTACACAGAAATATTCTCGTATTTGTTAGAATTCCACTGCATTTTAGTATGGAAGTGTTGTTTAGTATTTTAACATGACCGGTTTTCTCTTAAGTTGCATTTGTGGGAAATGACTCCAGGCTTCTTTCTGCAACCAGAGGTTTTGGAGGGAGGTCTGAGTCCTCTTAATTCAGATGACCTTTAAAGGTCCCTTCCAACCCAAACCATTCTATGACGCTATGATTCTATATTCAATTGTATGAACTTTTAATATTCCTGCCTTTATAATTTAAAGGAAGGCTGTAGTTCTCACTTTAAAAGAGATTAATCTTATTAAAAAGTTCCTATAATAAAATAGGAGATATGGTAATTGGGGAGTGAATTCATCTACAAATTGCTTTCAGATTTTATGTAAGGGCATACTGAATTTACATCAAACCAAACTTCCCCAATGGTATTTTGGAGCAAAGACTAGCTCTTTTTCTCTTTCTTTCTTTCTTTCTTTCTTTTTGTTTGCAAGTCTTTGTTAGTGCCATATCAGTTGTTAAAATGACTCCTAAAATATGGTATATGAGGAACACCTGCTGTGAATTTCTGTTAGCACAAACATACCATGATGGCAAAAATAGGGATACAATAAGGCTTTTTATGATCTCAAAATATCATGATAAATGCAAGTTTCGAATTGTGATCCCCCAAAATGAAACTCTGGGAAAGAATCCACTCTACAAAAATACAACCCTTGAAACATCTATAACAATTATTTATTGTAATTATATGTTATTCAGATACCAAAATAGCACTTGCTGTACTTGGGAAAAGCAGATCTGTGCTCTGAGTCTCTAATAAAATAACGCAGCAGCAGATAAACAAGAGATGGCAGCAGATGAAGTTCAGGGAAGTTCAGGATATATAAAAGGACCAAAAGGCTTGAGCAGCTCCACTTAGTGCAGAGCCACCTCATTAATGTTTTTTTAATTAACCAGCTTGAAGAACCAGAGTTCTTTTAAACATGTTTTAAACACGTTCTAGTTTTTAATGGGTTGGGTTTTTGGCCTTCCTAAATATGAGTAAGTGGCGGCCTGAGGTGAGTAGCGGAAATCATTGGGAAATAATTATCTTTCCCTTAATACCAGCTCTACCAACCCCTCAGCAGATCAGAAGTGCACTAGTAAAAACCAGGACTAGCTCCAACCAAGGGCAGACTATGGCATAAAAAAGACTCATGCAGTGCCTGAAAACAGAGTCAGGGTTATAATGGCCAATTAAAGCACTGGACTTATAACTTTATAATTATTTTCACAAGCACAATCATTCCCCTTTTTGCCTCAATCCCAGCTGGCTTACAGCCGTGGATGCAACTTGTAGATCCTCTAATGTTCATCGTGTCCCATGCATAAAGCCATCACTATGTAGCTTCATACTAGCACTGGTGAGACAGAAAGTGCTTTAACCTCCGCTTGAAGCTGAACGGGAACCTCAGAGTAGGGTGGAGGTGATGTCACCCCTCGGTGCTTCTTTGTCCCCGCTTTCCCCAGAGCAGGAGGTTACAAGGTGGACGAGGGAAGATAGATGCTGGTGCTGCTGCAGGGCAATTCCTTCTCCTTAAAATCCAAGCTTGTATTTGTCCCAAGGAGTCTGATGATGTCGTATGGCCCCAGCTGCTTCTTACCATTTCCTGGAGCACACAGCAGGTTGATAGACAAAATGTGTTGCATGCAGGTGGGCATTTGTACCATTTTCTGGGCAAAAGTCCACACCAGCGTCATGCTGAAACATTGGGTATTGATCACATTTATAGACGAAGACCCCAAGGTCTGGGTAGTGCAATGGCACCCTGTTACCACCAGGCTCTCAGAGTGCCAGCAGATGCTGGAACTTTTTGTGAGCCCAGATATGAAGTAGGGAATTTTTTTGTAGCAGTAGCACATTCCGAACATATGGACAGAGGACTACGCTGAAGCAGATGGAGTTTGGTTGGGGTCTCCAACCTGCCTGATGTCAGTATAAAGTCACAGGCCTTTGTGGAGTGATTCTACTTTTCTCACAGAATAAACAAGTTGCTGTGCTTAGTGCTGTAGCATGTTTTCCTAATCAGTTCTACCTAAAACATCATTGCTGCAAGTCTGTTAACTGTAAAGGCATTTCCTCTCTCATAATAGTGTATTTCCAGTGGGGAAAACACAAAAATTCTCTAACACCTACTGTTTTCCTTTTTTCTTTTTTTTAAAATGCTGTATAAAATGTTTTCATTACAGTACCTGGATTTACTGTATTTACCTGCCTTCAGATGAATCCTTCTGTTTTATCACTCTGAAGTGATATGTCAGACACATCTCACAAGTAAGGGACAAGCCTTAGTTCTTATTTGAGGCACCAAAGGTGAAGTATGTTATCCCAGGAAGGTTACTCAAAGCTCAAGGTGTCGTCTTCGTCCATTAGTTGCCATAAAGGAGTATGGAGAGGTTCTCCATATAGATTGTAAGAGCAGCTCTCTAGGACTTAGGGGAACCAAATTATATCAATCTATGATGTAACTAATGATTGTATTAAATGCAATGCATTATCCATCATATGTTGTTACTGGACTTAAATATTCAAAACCTACCTTGCTTGTTCTCCTTTCTAGCCTGAGAACCTGCTTTACTACAGCCAAGATGAAGAGTCAAAAATCATGATCAGTGACTTTGGATTGTCAAAGATGGAGGGTAAAGGAGATGTGATGTCCACAGCCTGTGGGACTCCTGGCTATGTGGGTAAGAGATTTGGGTATATTGTCTATCCAGTCTTCCCAGCCGCAATACAGACCCATAGTAAAGAGGAAATAATACTTGTTTTCTAGTGCCACTACATGCTGCACATGAGATTTTACAGATGTTCATCAGAAATAGAGATTTCAGAAGTTGCTGCTGCTCTGCCTTGTGTGCTCTTCTCCTTCAGGTCCCCATCCTGCAATCCAGCTCGGGATTTGTGGGATTCACTTTCATGATTTTAATCGTTTGCAAAATGAGTTTTCTTAAAGACACTGCCTGTAGCTAAATTAGGAGCACATGAAGAATAGCAGATTCTGCAAGCACCCATAAAACCAAGAAGCTTTACCTAATGTAACATTATTTTAATCACAAAGGACAATATTTGCCACATTTCCCTGATAGAAGACAGTAAAATGAAAGAGCTACATTTATTCAGATGTGTTCAGTCATCCTCTTTTACAACCATATGAAGTTACTGACTCCTAGATGTCGGTATGCAAAAGCTCTTTAGATCCTCGGGCCTTCCTGGGTGGTATCAAATTGTTTTCTATCATTTATTCTTTACTCTTTTGTCCATTCGGTAGTGATTGTACCCAGCTACTGATTAGCAGAGTGTTTACCAGCATCCTTTTAAAAAAGTTAACGTAACTGAATGTGGGAATTATACAGCAGGTGATGACAGGCTCTGCTTGAGCAAACACTATTTAAAAGGCTCACTTCCTGCATGAGATGGATCCGGCAAGCCCGTGTCTCCTATGATACCTAGCTAGTCAGCTGAGATATAGTAAAAATAATCTCTGGGGTATCCATGAAATCCATGAAGCTACAATGACGGTGGCTTCCCCAGGGACAGATTTGTCTCCTATCTTTCCAGCAGGAAAGACCTGATGTTTTCCAGCAGTCAGAGAGAGGCGCATTTTGCTTTGCAGCTGCCACCTCACCTGCTTTTTCATAGCACTGATGACACCATGGTATGAGAACTCAAATAGGTGATGAGGTTGTGACACAGTGATCCAGTTTTGTCCCAGGAGTACCTTTATCCAGGCATTATCTTCAGGCTGCATGAGCACGCTCTATCCTGATACCATCAGGAAAAGGAACAGATGTCTTTGGTTTCCCATCGTGAGCCATCAGCCCATCGTTTCTTTATTTTAAGACATATGAGTCAGGATGCACTCTGTACAGCCTGAATAGCTGTCTTGTGTAATCACACCAGACTGGAGATCTTCTTCCAAAGCACTAGCAGGAATTGAGCTGAGACAGCAATTTTCATAATTTTTGCTGTCAGCTCTTCTGTCCTTAATTAACATGTCTGATTTTCTTCTGAAATGGGCACTGACTAGAATAAGTCTGCGAGACACAGGGAAGCTCAGATGATGTTTGCTGAAGCACTGATGAAAATGAGGGAGTGTGACTCTGCCTGGGCACTGAGTGATCTCATATGGCCTCTCCGCGTAGCAATTTACATAAGAAAACTTGCTATTTCGGAGATGAAGCTCTTGGAGCATGTGACACTAATTGTAGTGCTTTGAGAGATTCGAGAGCTCTCATTACTCAGGGTCTGGGCGCTGATAGCTCCAGAAGTGCCTCCAGGCCGGTTGTTACCTTACGAAACAGAGGATTTACTCATCATGGTTCAAGAGGTCATTTCTGTTATTTCGGTTATTTCTGAAGTGCTGACCCGAGTTTTTCCCCTCTCTCACAGAGAAAAACCCCTTTAAATATTTGTTCTATTTCTTTTTTTTGCACAGAAGACATCTCCTCTTTAGTGCTGCTTTTTTTTTTTTTAAATATGATTGGTTGTCCAGACAACATTTTCCAAGCACAGAAAATTTTTGTTGTCAGTCAGTGTGGTGATGCTCAGAAATCGGCCTCTGAGGGTGTTATACCTGATGACATGGCTTTTGCCAATGTGGTCTGCAATTTGTCCGCATCCAAAAGCATTCATGGCTTCCAGCATCTCTCCAATTTGCAGCACCTGCCTAAAATGCCTTCAGATAAATGTAAGAGTCCTTAGCCCTAAATTGCACAACATGAATGCGTGTTCTTGTATGGATCATGGGAGACACAGGACACAGTGCTGGCCCATAAAGTGTCCCCTCTGTCAACTTTTCTGGGGTCTTTTTCCAGCCTTTTTACCTAGCATTGAAGTAACAGGGATCCATCACTTACAATGCAATTCCTGGTGCCTTTCTTTAAAAATATGTAGAATATCCCATTTTCTAAGATATTATGAGGACTGAGTTATTTTTGTTAGTTTAACCACTTTGTGTTTGAATTACTGGAAAATAATTGGGCACATGCCGAAGACACCAGGGCTTGGGTAAGAAGTCATTAGCATCTGCTACTATTTATACTTCTTTATGTCCAGAAACGGAACCAGCTGGATCCCTCTGTGCAAGGTGATGGACAAGCTTCTGACTTGGCAGCAAACTTGATCTTAACTCAGGTCTTCTGCCCTTTATTTGAAAGTATGCAAGGCCTCTCATAACTTCTGATTTTCCTGATTAGGATATACTTTCAACTCTGTGTGTTTCAATTTTTAACTCAGCTTTTCTTAGTTTCAGCTCCAAAACTGGTGGTACCCAAGACACTAAATTCCTGTTTATGTGGTTCAGAAATTCATCAGATAAAGGAGGGTGTACTTTTAATTAATCTTCTTAATAAATATCAGTTTTCTTTCTGAAAATCAAAGTGTTACTTATCAAATTAAAATGTGCATAATCAGTAGTGCATTAGCACATTGGCTTTTTAAGGTTCTGCCTTACAGATTAAATTCCTGTCAACAGTTCAGAGATCTCATTCTTTCAGGCGTTTTGTCAGAGATTTTGGTCCTATGGTGAAAAGATGATGGGTAGGATAATTTAACACAATTAGACTTCAATGAGGCATTTTTGTTCAAATGGAAATCTAAATGTTGACTTACCAAAGAGGGAATCTGATAATACAACCTCTGCTCATGAAAAGGCCTTCCATTTTCTTATCTGTTTACCACTCTTATCTTTCTCCATTTGCTACGGAAGGAGTCTAGTTCGGACTAGATGCTCAACTGTTAGATAGCATCCAAATTGGGTAAAATGAGCCAGCTTGTGTGTTTCATTTCATTGCAAATTAGGTGTGTGGATTGGCTTGCATGAATCCCATTCCGTCCTCTAAACTGTAGAACAAGTGGTGTTTTCAAAACTCTCAGTGATCTGCGTGGTTATGGGCTAGATCTGTATAAGCTGTTAGTGCTTTATCATTTGAAACCTCATAGATTTGGGCTGTTCAGCATGAGACCATTTATAAGAACTGGATTTTGATGAAGGGGGTGTTAAAAACTGCCTGAAAATGAGTCATCCTTGAGGTGTGTCAAGTTGGGCACTCACCAGGACGTGACTCCAGTCACTCAACAAATTCCGCTAAAGAGATTTTGGCTGTTTGGGCATTAGGTCTCACTAGCTGACTTTCCGTGAGAGTTGGTCTCTCAAAAGCTTTGCTTACTTCTGCAGATGTATACTTAGACTTGCAAGACACCTAAGAGCATCGAAAAGTTTGGAAAAAATGTTAGAAAGCCTGTCTCAGGCAATCTGATCTCCTTTCGCAGAAATGCTGAATTATGAATTGTGTTTGTGGCTGGCTGATATCTTAATCCTACTGAGATTTAAAATTCTTGCTCTGAGTCCCAACCCAACTTCAAGTAAAATTTTCTTGTGTTTCCCTGTTGTAGGGATTGTGCTGGACCCTGGATGTGTGGTTGGTCCCTGTACACACCACCTCATTCACTGTTTTTATTTTCTGTAGTGCTTTGATGTAAAGTCATTTCACACCTTTCAGCTGTACCAGAAACCCAGTAGTAATTTCAGATCATACCAAAGCTGTACGTTTCTCTGAGCCCTGCGCAAGGCCAGAGCATTTAAGTAAGCAATAGATTTCCATGTTGAATTTAGAGTTATTTGGTATCATTTGTGTCAAAGGTTTGAAAATATTCAATAAGCCTTTTTAATATCCTTATTAGCAAAAAGCAACCCTGGGAGTTGTTTAGGCAGTAATATGAATAATAAAGTAAAAAGAAAGCATGGGAACTGCTCTCACCACGGTTTGCTCAGGCACAAGCTCATGGCAGTGCGATCGCTCAGCTCCATTGCTGTATCCTGAAATGAGGTTTGCTTGCATGTGGTTCCATGACAGCTATCTAAATCTGACTCAGTGACATGAAATAGGGACAACAGGAGCACAAGAAGCCAGCAGAGCTGCACCAAAACTCTGCTGTCCTTTGGAAACAGCATCAAACTGCAAAGTCTTGGCCAACCAGAACAAGATAAACACTGGAGGACTGTGTGAATGGGAGAAAGACGTTGTTTTCATCCCAGGAGGCAGTGGAAGAGGGACTTTAGTCTTGTGGTGAAGTTGTTTCATATGCCTCTTAGCCTGTTTACACCAAGAGGAAGATGCTTTATATGGCAGCAGGGGAGCTCACACTGCTCTTGCACCATCTTTGGCTTCAGGAGAGGGGCTGGTTTGGCCCTTTGTGCATCCAACCACCTTCTCAATGGTGCAGAGTTGTTCGTCTCTGTCCTTCTTGATGTGGTACCTTCAAGTCCTAAGCAAGAGGGCTGGCACAATCTCCCCTTGGTGTCCCTTACAAACCCTACCCGTTCCTCACCTGCGCTCTCAGCTTTCATGGCCATCTTTTGTCTGTGCAGCCCACTCATGCTTCCCCTTCTTCACTTGCAGAACCTGCCTACGTGATGGAAACTGGCACTAAAACAGTTACCAGCTGAACTACTAGTCCTGGCTTGCCCCGGGCCAATTTGCTGGGCCAGTTGCGCTGTGTCCCTTCCCAATGTAAGCAGGTCCCTGATTATTTTAACCCTATTTAGATCTTTTTATTCCTCCCACATTTACGGTAGCCTGCTGATTTGTCACTCCTATGGGGATCTTCAAAGCTATCACCCTTTATTCAAAATGTCTCATTTCTTCTGGCATGCGGCTTGTGGGAAGCCATATAAACCACAGAAAATAGCATCAGACTGTTCTTGTGAGACAGCAAGATCTGCTGGGAGTAAGCACCACCATGGGAGCAAAAGAGAGTTGCTTTTAAGTATGAGGCTGGTATGAAGAACAGGCACTCTCATGACTTGTACTGTTTGTTC